ATTCAGTTTACATATCTGTTAATATTTTCTTTCACTTTCAGTACAATATTATCAATTACTGAAACGAATGCACAAGTAACAGTGCGAACCTTTCAAGCCTTCTCTTTCAATTTGGCAGGCATGAACGTAAGTTTCATAACTCTCATTAGTTTCAAACCTTCAAGTATTACATACAGTAAGCATTAGTGTTCATTTAAGTATCAATTTTTTTGGTAAAAGTTTATTTTAAATTTAAGTCTCTGAACAACAATGCCAACGGAATACAGACATTCAGTTTTTCTGGATTTGGCACAGGAAGAAATCAAACTACTTCAGCTCCACCGACTACTGCTAACCCATTCTTACAGCTTCTTGAACTTTATCTCAGGGGTTTCTCTCAAGTGCCAACGGCTGGTGCAGGCTTCCCGTCTTTTCCTCAAGTGCCACGTGGAGGCTTCCAATTTCCTCAATATGGTTATCCTTATTATCCATACTACGGTGGATACGGAGGATATGGTTACTACCCCTATTCCTATTACTATTATTATTATGGATAATTGTTTTACTTCCTCCAAATGTCTTTGTATCACTGTGCGGACTTTAAATTTCCAAAACTCATGCAAAACTTTGTTTGATGTTTCGTTCTATAGCAAGTCATTAAGTAGATTGTAAATTGAATCAATGTTAAAAGTATATCAAAAATTTATACGGCACAATTATCGTCACCAAAATCATCCACGACTCTGTTACAGTTTGTAGTGAGCATACTAATTAATGGAATAAAATGAGGTGCCGAAAACGAATGAATACAGTAGTTACTGGTGCTGACTCTTGGCCAATTTTGGTGCTAATCATTCGTTGAATGTTGCAATATTATGTCAATTATGTAATTAAAAGTAGAATTTTTCTAAATTGGCGTTTCTCAGAATTTCCTAAAACTTGCAATCGAAAAGGATTGACACATGTTTAAAGCAGAATAAAACTTTGGAATTATACGCCAATTACCAATTACATTTTTTTTTGTCACTTTCTTTCTGTAGCCAAATGCAAATGCCAACTGACATGACTTTTTGATGTTTATCGCCACAAAATACCGTTTTCTTCATTTAAAACTGATTTAATTAATCGCTCAATCGATAAGTAAGAAGGGCGACATTGGAAGAAAGATTTGAAGAATGAACTGATCATAAAAATAAA